TTACAACTTCCATGCCAAAACTATAGCTTCACAATGTAACTTTCTTTACATCTCTCTTCTGCTAACTGACTCCTTTCTGCCTTGCTTTAATTTTTTCCTAAGTTTACATTTTAAAATAATTCCTTTAAAAAAATTTAATTATGGGCATGTCGCGGTAGCCTAGTGGCTAAAGTCCCTACGCTCGGGATCCCATATGGTCGCTGGTTCTAATCCTGATAGCCCCACTTCCCATCCAGCTCCCTGCTTGTGGCCTGGGAAGGCAACAGAGGACAGCCCAAAGTCTTGAGACCCTGCACCCACGTGGGAGACCCAGAAGAGGTTCCTGGCTTCTGGCTTCAGATCAGCACAGCTCAGGCCGTTGTAGTCACTTGGATAGTGAACCAGAGGATGGAAGATCTTCTCTACCTCTTCTCCTCTCTGTATATCTGACTTTCCAATAAAAATAAATCTTCAAAAAAAAAAACCCCACTTAATTCTACAGAATTGTTTTTTCTCAATAAACATTATTTTTATGTACTTGTGAGTTTTATTACAAAACATATCTTAATTTTCTTATTATACTCTTTATACATAGCATTACTTATATTAATTAGAACTTTCAACTCTTACACCCTTAAGTTCTATTGAAGATCCAGAAAGAAAACAATCTTTGCTTTACTTTAAAGCAACAATTTATGAATGTACATTTAAATTTTTTTTTTTCTTTATTTGAGATGGAGTTACATAGAGAGAGGGAGAGGAGAGAGATCTTCTATGTGCTGGTTTACTCCCCAAGTGGTCACAACGGCCGGGACTGGTCCGGGCCAAAGCCAGGAGCCTGAAACTCCTTTCAGATCTCCCACATGGGTGGCAGGTGCCCAGATGTTTGCGAATCATCTTCCACTGCTTCCCAAGGTGCACTAGAAAGAACTGGATCAGCAGTGGAGCAGAGCTGGGACCCCAAAGAGCACATTCTGACCCCTGAATCAATACTTTATAATTTTTAGTAACATATGTCTTCCCATAAAACAACCAAAAAATATGGAGTATTATTTATTTATTTAAATATCTATTTTTATTTGGAAGGTATATTTTATAGAAAGAAAGGGAGAGGTCTTCCATCCACTGGTTCATTCTCGAAATGGCTGCGATGGCTAGAGGTCGAGATGATGTGAAGCTGGACACCAGAAACTTCTGGGTCTTCCACAAAGGTGCAGGAGCCCAAGGACTCAGGCCAAATTCCACTGTTTTCCCAGGCCACAAGACGGGAGCTGAACTAGAAGTGGAGCAGCAGGACATGAACCAGTGCCCATATGGGATGCTGGCACCACAGGGTGGGGGATTAGCTTGCTGTTCTGTCTCACCAACACACAGATACATTTATTAATAAATTCAACTATATTGTCTTTTCCAGAGAGTTTGAGGAACCAAGAGCATATGAATTTCTATTTTGCAACTGATGTTTCAGTATTTTAGCTCATGTGGAAATGATTCATGCAATTCATTCAATTTAATGTTAATGTTCTAAGCGTTCAGATTGTGGGAAAAGTTCATGCATAACTGGTAATCCCTTCTACATCTACTCACTTGCTTTTTTAAACAATTATACATAGATTATGTATGAAAACTGGGGTATTCTTTTAAATCAAATAAATAAGTAGCAACTATAAATTGCCAGGCCTATTAGGAAGAAATAGATAATGCATCATACACTTTCCTACATATATTTTCTTTGCTTAATTTTTTTTTTTTTGCTTAAGTCTCTAGGATGTTCAATCTTGTGCTTAAACTTTTATAATGTTAAACCTCTATCAGATAAGTATAATTCTGTCTGGCCATCACACCTGAGCAAAAATGTATGATAACATTTCTAGAGATAGGCAACATCTTCATTGTTATCCTACCAACAACTTTGAAATCAGGTTATTTAGTTTGGTGAACTAAAAGGTATCTGGGTTTTATTTATATAATCTCCATGGTATTATTTGAGCTCTCATTTTCCTGGAAGTCAATATGAGTACACACAATAGGCCATGTGTACACATATATAACACACAATCCCATATACACACAAAAATCTTCTAATTTTCATTTCATTTATTATTTTTACCTTATTTTAAAGGCTTATTCATTTTCACTGGAAAGGCAGAAATTTACAGAGAAAAGGCGAGATGGGAGAGAAAATTCTTCCACCTGATACTTCACTCCCCAAATGGCCATATTGGCCAGAACTGAGCCGATCCAAAGCAGGAGCCAGGAGCTTCTTTGGGGTCTCCCACATGGGTGCAGGGTCCCAAGGCTTTGGACCATTCTTTACTGCTTTCTTAGGCCACAAGCAGGGAGCTGGATTGTAAGTGGAGCAGCGGGACACTAACCAGTGCCCATCTAGGATGCTGATGTCAAAGGCAGAGTAATCGATTAGCTTGCTATTAACAGGTATGCACACATGAGATTCTCTCTTCATAATCCCTGTCTTTACTTATTTATTTTTTATTGGAGCTTGTCAAAGTGACTGTTTTGATTTTGACAACTTTCACAAAATGGGTATCATTCTTGAAAAGAGAGCTTCTAAACGATGTACTTTTAAAATTTAAATAATTTTGAACCCCTTTGTTTCTTCTTTTATTTGAATAATTTCCCGACAACATTTTTGTTGATTTTTTTTCATTCACCATCATTATTAATGCTGATTAATAGCATTTTCTGAGGTACTCCCAGTAACGGTAAGTATTAATTGAGCACACATATGATTGCAGTGATGCCCGGAAACACGGTGTTTTAGAAAATGTCATCTATTAACCAAAGGTGCCAAAACCCATGTCCAACTCAAACCTTTGTCCTCAGTTCTAGACTCAAACATCTGATGCACCTGGCAAGGCTGACATGACTGAGATGGACCACTGACTTTTCTCCTCGCATCTGCTCCTCCAAAAGCATTCCACATTTCAGCCCAGGGCAACTCCAGAACACAAGCATCATCTTGACTTTCACGTCAGCATTCACTCTTGCACCTGGTGTAGGCACCATGGGGATTCCCATAATGTGCCCTGATCCACTTAAGCTTCAAGCTCTCTCCTTGCCAAGGGATGCTCAGTAGTTTTGTCAGGAACATATGAAAGAAGAGAAACACATTCTAAAGGAATCTGAAATTTCAATTGTAGCCAGTCCTCCTTCAGCTTGGAGGAGAGCCGGCCTTGGTATAAAAACCTCTGCAGAGACAACAGAAGATGGAGACAGAAAGAAGATAGCTCTTGAAGAAGTCACCGGGCTGCTCAACAACACAATCAGAAGTCAGATTCTCCATTTTTGGGAGCCAAATGCTTTTTGTTCTAACCAGATGGAGTGGAGACTTTGTTTCATGGACATGCAGGTGCCCTAACTGACGTAGGCTGCTATCTCTAGAACAAGTCTTTAGATGCTGATCAGCTAGATTTTTTTTTTTTTTTATGAAATGCAGCATGAAAGTTTTTTTTTTCCCCAGTTTCTCACATTTTCATTCTTCTGTGCTTCTTAAGGATTTATTTATTTTTATTGGAAAGGCAGATTTACAAAGAGACGGAGAAGGATTTATCCATGTACCAGTTCACTCCCTAACTAGCTGCAATGTCTAGAGCTAAACTGAACTGAAGCTAGGAGCCAGGAGTTTCCTCTGGGTCTCCTTTGTGAGTGGGGCCCAAAGACTTGAATCACCCTTTGATGCTCTCCTAGGGCATAAGCAGGGGGCTAGGTCCTAAGTGGAGCAGCTGGGACTTGAACTGCTGCTCATATGGGATGCCAGCACTGAAGCCAGAGGCTTAAGCTACTGCACCACCGTGCTGACCCATTCCTCTGTGTTTTTCCTATGCTACTGCCCCTTCCTGGAGTGCTTTTCCCACCATGTTCTCTTGATAAATCTCTGGCCATCCTTTAAGTTTGGCATAAATATCCCTTTTTCTTTTCAAACATTACTAAGCTATGATCATAGTCTAATTTTAAATATCTGATCAGGCTATGTTCATGGTCTAATTTTAAATATGTGATTGCAGTAGATTCTTTTTTAATTTAGTGGGATGATCACTTAAAAATATTTGCTTTCCTAGCACATTCCAGGCACATACAACTGTAAATCCCTAAAGCAGTTTGCCAATGTTTTATACAGCAAAATACAGGGCATTTACAGTATGTTGAGAGGGAGGAATTCTGGGAATACTGATACAACCTTAAGAGATACGGGAGATGAGGGAGGGGAAACTTCCTGGAACAAGTGATGTCTACACAGAGATTTAAGAACCAGGAGGAGTTAGCCAGGACATAGTAGAGAGATCACTGTAGGAAGAGAAGGGGTGGGTGCAAGTTATCTAGCAGCAAGGTCCTCTTGGCGGAAAGGTCAAAGCACGGGGTCCCACAGGGACACGACCTGAGATGAGGCTGGAGCATGAGGTGAGATCCGGGAAGGAAGGACCTTGCAGAACTGCCTGTGGAACATAGGTTCCTCCTGAGTACCTCCAGAGCACCACTCGGGGGAAGCTTGAGTTGTGTCTTGGAGACAAGGATGCAGAGAACCCACGGGTCTGGGGAACCCCCCCAGGAACTGAATGGTTAGGAAACATTCTGGGTGCCCCCACCCTTGTGTTCTGTGTACCTGCTCTCCTAGGCTGTTGGATTAAGAACAGACACAGAATGTAAACCCAATGGAAGAAGTGGTGAATGCTGGCACTTTCCATGTGGGCAAACAGATGGCCTCCTGGGCGCAGAAGTCTGTCAGTGATGTCAGTGGTAATATCACATGATTGACAACCATGAACATGATGACGCTGTCATATGAACAGCAGTCACAATCCTACACAATCAGAAGTAAAATTCACCTGTCATTTTTTAGTAAGATTTTCATGCCAGCTGCAAATTTGGAACTTTGTCACATTATTCATGCGTTTCAGTAATAACGAGCATTGATGACGATGAAGACAATGAAAGCGCAGGGATTGCTGGAGCAGCAGCTTTTATTAGCAGTGAGGGTCAGTGGTCACACATCCAGCTGCCTCCTAACACGGGGCGAGGGTGAGCAGCACATTCTCTCTCACCGTCTCTGTGCTGCAGAATCTGGACCTGTGCAGAGAAAACCGCAGAGTCACCTCTTGCTGGCATGGACCAGACACCTGACACACGTCAACTAAACCAGCTGAGCTAGCGTAGACTTAACAGCACAGAGTAAGCCAGGATGAGCCATTCTTTTCTAACCAGTACTGTTTGCCTCTGCCTGGGGAAATATTGGGGTCATTGCTTTCAGATTTTATCTTTTTTTTTCTTGTGATAAACTCTGTCTACTCTGGTAGGTCTGCAATGTTTTTATTTCATTTATGTCATTGAAAGGCATTTTTGTAGGTATAAATTCTAGATTAAGTATTTTCTTCTTTCAATACTTACAAATATTTTCCCCGCTGTGTCCTTGTTGCCTTGTATGTGATGAGAAGTATGCTGTGGCAAGTCCTTATTTTTATGCAGTAGTATGGACTGTTCTTTTCTCTCTCTTTAAGATTTTTCTCTTTACCACTGGCTTTCAATTCTTTGCTTTTAATGTATTCTGACTCTCTTTATATTTCTTGTGTAGCATGGGGGAGTGGTAACAAGACTCACTGATCTAGCTTTCAGCAGGCTTCGTCATTATAGAGCCATTGTTCTCTTCCTCTGGAATCTTCCAAGACAAGCCTTTGAGTGGCAGCCTCCTAAGGTCATTCTGCAGGTTGCTGATGCTCTTTGAGATGTTTTTCTCTCTTTCACTTTCTATAGTTGCTATTATGTCTTCAAGATCGCTCACCTTTTCTTCTGCAATGTCTAAACTATTCTTGATTGCAGACACTATATATTTTACTTGACTTTTTCTCTTCCGTAAGTTTAGTTCGGAATTTTTCCAATATGAGTCATGCCTCAATTGACCTTTTCAGCAAATTGAATGCTGGCTCAATCACTGTTTCAATGCCTTTGTGGCTGCTCTAACATCTGTATCAGTTGGAGTTTGTCACTTGAGCAATTGTTGTTCTAAACAGAGCTTGTGTTTGCCTGCCTCTCTGTATGCCTGGGAATCTTGGCATTGAAGTTTGGTGTGTGTTTGTTTTGGCTGGCTGTTAGATGACTTGGTAAGCCTACCAATATTCTTGAACTTCATTCTGAGACGCGGATATTTGGAAATTGGTCACTTAAGGTCTTGTTTAACCTAGGCTAATTACTTCCCATTATGGAGCAATACTTTCCTAAAAAGCTTACATTTTTCCAATTTACTAGAAAAACAAGGGCTCTTTCCAGTCCTAAAAGAGGACTCACTAATCCATTCAGGTGGATTTTTGCCTGGGTCTGGCTAGTGAAACACACCTGTATTGATTATTAACCTCCAATTTTCTGGGACACCTCCTGCCTGATGGGTGGCTGTCTTATGAAATCCTAGTCGCTTCCGATGATATGCTTGCGGCTCTGTCTCCCGTCTATTAATGGAGTCCACTGGGTTCTGCCTGGATTTCAGCTGCCAGGGCCACGTGCTGTAAGGTCCCTCAGCACGTCGTCTGGGCAAGCTGAAGGCTCCACCTTGCTTGTGTTTGTGTAGATATCCCTACGCCTACCGCTTGACATTCAGTGCCTTAACAAATGCTGTTTCATAATTCAGTCCGAATGTTTTCACTGGGAAAATAAAAGTATTCATGTAACTCCATCACTGCCAGAAGTGGATGTATGCTTGCTAGATTTTTAAAAGGGATGTTATGCTGTGAAGAGAGAAGCAGCAGAACGAGCTGCAGCAAGCTAATATCGGTTATCGCTGGGAGCATCGTCAGCTCATCTTCTCCTGTGATAAACAAACTTTAATTTACACACACCCTAAGCTTACATGTAAGGAAGGATTGATCTAGAACTCTGACATTGCTGTAAGACCTGTGATTGGAAAGAGGCCATTTCTAGTCCTCAATAGGTAGCAATTTGGTGGACCAACTTAGGATCATGAATAGTGATTCTTACACACTTGATGTGTATCAGCCAATCAGCACGTATATAAACATGTCAAAGTTGTTTTCCTAAAGAAATAAAAGGTATGAGGAAGCAGTTGTGGTTGGGGTATAATAACCATGGTAGAAATTTAATTAAAAAAAGAAATTTAGTAGGAATATAATTATGAATATGACTTAATATTTCAAACCCTTTACGATTTTTATTACTTACAGTGTTCCATCATTTTGTTCCACTGTGATCAAGGATGCTCCCACCTTGGGTAGTGTTGGGTTGATCACATTGTTGTTCCAAATAAACTTAACACTCTGCACATCTCCAACCTCCACGTCAGAGTCAAACTCATTGGTGTAAGTCTTGTCTGACTGGAGATAGCCCCTGGAGAGTTAAGAAAGTAAAGCCATTTGAATAACCATCCCGACATATAAATCTTTTTTTACACACATATATACACACACATAAGTGCACATATACTTACACAGATTCAGGTAAGTGCACATGTTTCTTAAGCCAACAAGAAGTGCATGCATATGTAAAATTATTGTTAGTCATTTTAAAATTGTTGTTATTGTCATTTTAGTGCATTAAACACTATTTTGCTATTAATGACTCACATTATTTTATCATCATTATTTTATTTTAAATATTTATTTATTTATTCATTCATTCATTTATTTGAAAGGTGGAGTTAAGGATAGAGAGGGAGACAGGCATAGAGAGAGAAAGAGAGAATCTCATATTTGCTGGTTTAGTACCCTCAATGACCATAACACTATGGATGGGCAAGCCACAGCCAGGAGTCTGAAATGCCATCCTGGAGCCATCATCCATTGCTTTTCCTGATGCATTAGCAGAGAACTGTACAGAAAGTGGAGCAATCAGGATTCAAATGAGCACTCATAGGGAATGCTGACTTTGCATGTAATGGCTTAACCCACTCATAACAACACCATCCTCTTTATTTCCATTAAACTTCAAACGAGTTCCTGTTACAATCCACAGTGTAATCAATGATGACTATCATGTCATCTTTCCCAATTACCTTAATTGGAGAATCACTCTTTACAATTTGAAAGTTAGAGGCTAAATAAACATGCACGCTTTTTCAGACAGATTCTGAAATACAGCAAGATGTAAAGGTGAAAGAATTTCTTTCTTTTTATTTTGTGTGACAACATTTCACTCCACTGCAGTAATGAATAAACGAACTCTTAGATTTACAGCATTCATTATATGGGCTCAATATTCCAACCTCTAAGAAGCTTAGAGTAGCATTTTACCCACCTGGAAATTTCATACTGTTTAGAGTTTCCATTATTTCCATGCAGAGATACCAGCACATATCCTGTAACACTCCTGCCAGAGAGTGTGACAGCCACGCGATACCTCCAACCTGTGCGGGCAAAGAAGCTTAGCAGACTGCCAGGACGTGGTGAATACACTAAGACAGGTTAACAGGACCTTATTATTGAACAATTTTCAAAAAATGTATATGTGGTATTTGTGATTCTTTTGAGAGATGTATTTATTTATATAGAAGGCAGAATGACAAAGGAGGAGGCACAAATAGAGATTTCTATCCTCTAGTTCACTCTAGAAATGGCCACAACAGCCAGGGCTGGCCCAAGCCCAAGTTAGAAGCCAGGACCTCCATCCTGGTCTCCCACATGGCTGGCAGGGCCCCAGAACTAGCACTGGTTTATGTCGCTTTCCCAGGCACATTGAGAGGAAGCTGGGTCAGAAGCAGAGCAGCCAGGATTTGAACCTCTGCTCTGATGATGAATGCTAATGTGGCAAATTGTGGTTTATACCACTGGGCTATAATACGGGCCTCCTGGTGATTCTTCTAATGAAACAGTCACAGGTATTCCTTTATCTAGGCATTCAGGGGACAGGCATAGAGGAGTGGAAACTTTCCCAAATGTAAAGAATAGTGTTTTCAAGAATATTTGTCTTCAGTGTTTTAACATAAACATCTACTCCTGTTATTAAAGCTTTATGTTCAGGGGTAGCAGAAAGCTAAGAGAGCCTGATATTGCTTCCATTCCATCCATCCATCATCAGGCTTCAGCATGCTATCAGCTTTCTATCCAAAACACTTAAAATATTGTGTAATTCCACTTTTGGTTGATATTGGACGAAGGTCCTGTTACAATAACAAAATGAACACTGCCTTGGTACTAACCAATAATAAATTACCACTTAAGCCAGTTAGAATGAGTTTGGACCAAACTGACAGGAGCAGAGGTGAAATGTATCATTTAGGATTTGAATAAAATATGGAGAAAGTGATCTTTGTGTCATTAATAGCTCAGATCCCCAGGTCTCTTTTGTTACTTAAATTAGACACAATGACATCTAGCATGGAACGGAACATTCTTCCACCTTTGGGGGGAGTGTTTACAACAGTTTTGCACATTTGCAGTGGAGAGAAGGAAATATATAGCATTTGGAATGTAAGGTAAATAAAATAGACACTTACGTGCAAAATTACTGGATTCACCGGTGTTTAGATAAAATACCTGGTTCACAGCATCTGTTTTCCCAGGAAATTGATCAGCGTAATGTCCCATCTGCGGGCATTCTCCTTTGGAACAGGCAAAGCACTTGTTCTAGTGTAAACAAATGCACGATGCATGAGAATGCTGTGCACCAGTGCCCTGCCCCACCCGAGTCCACGGCCTCAACAGCGTCCCTGCAAAGGGTCACAGCACCTCACTAGTCACAAGGAACCATCAGCAATTTCACTGACAAACAACACAACGTTAAAAAGGCAGACAAATACAAGTCCTTTCTCTCTGGACCAAGGATTTGTTGTACAAGAGATGGGGAGGGAAGCACAGAGTCGGGGGATGAGCATCTCAACTGCCACTGTGGAGAAGGTTACCACATAGTGCACTCAAGTGGTAAGTTCCAGAACCAGTGGACCAGGTGTGGTGGACACTGGCGAGATCAGCGTCCCCTTAAGAAGACCTAAGAGGAGACTGAGCCAGGCAGGAAGACATGGCTGCAGCTCTCAGAAGGCACTGATTAAAGAGAAAAAGACGATGCCAGCAGGGTGGGGCTATGACCCTCAGTGCAATGGAGCCCAGGGCCGAGTCACGAGTCACTTCTGCTGCGCACACGCTAGTCAGAGCATCCCCACAATCACCTGGCGAAGTACCAGAGAGAGGCTGAGGATGGGGTCCAAAGCGGGAGAAACAGGAAGAGCGCACATCGTTTTCATAGAAGTGCGGAACATCCCTCAAAGCACGCTTAATTTTTACAGCATCAGACTCAGTTTAACAGGAAAGCACTGCAACTTACTTGTTTGTTTCTTTATTTGTTTCCTACATTACCAAGCTTCGGGTATTAGTGAAGAAGATGAAAAGTTATACCAAATAAAGCGAGAAAGAGGGCTCTTTTCTTATTGTATATACAAGTTGTGATGTGAACAAAATAAATGTGCCTTCCACATAATACCTAATATTTATTGCGCTCTGGACTAAGTAATTAACATGTATCATATCATGAAGTCTCCATGCCAAATAGGTTGTGTCAACCATTACTGTTCACATTTATGGTGAGGAAATTGACTTAAAGAAGTGGTTTATCCAGTGCTACTCAGCATTTTATTGGTGAAGTCTGGATCCACATCTCTGCTGTGAGTACCTGCACATGTATATTACATTAAATTTTTTTTTTTTACTAAATAGCATAGGTTGCTGATTTTTAAAATAATGTTACCATGAAAGGAAGAGTCTTCTGGAGGGGAAAATCACCGGCAATAGATACTAGAAGCCTTCAGAAAGTTGACAGAGTATCTTACAATGAGGAACTACATATGTATTTTGAAAACTATTACAATAGGATCAACCTATCTTCAAATTTCCATTTTTCTGATAATTTTAAAGTACTCTCATTTCATGTTTAAGATAGCAAATAAGAATTTAACCTAGATATTGAGAGGATATCAAGCAAGATGAAAACTCAAGAAAATATTAGCCATTATCGGATTGCATGATAAGGCACATATGTCCTCCATTCTGTTGTCAAAAAGGTCGGCTTGTATGGAAAAATTTCCATGCTCATCAGCATCCTGTGATCACAGGTCAGTTATCCATAGATGAATTCCATTACGGTTGTTTAAGATATTTCCCTCACCAATTTAAGCACTTCCCTAACACACAAAAAGTAACAGAAACCAAGGCAGATATAGAACATATTCATTTCCAAACCTGCTTCTTTCAACTCCACTAAAGCATTTTGTAGCACTAAGAAAGCGTGCATCAAAGATCAACAGTATAATCATGTATGAAAGTAGAAGCATTCACTAAACGCTGTCATGAACACTGGCTTACACGTGCCGTAAGAAGTGACAGTCACAGACGTCAGAGTGGGACAAGCTCTACTTACTTGAGTGAAGGCTTTGTAAGAGGCACAAGAGAAACCAGCAAAGCCAGTGGGGTTGACAATGCTATCGGTGTAATACTTGTAGCTTCTTAAGTGATTACAGGCCACAAAGTCCCGTGTTCCTTTAAAATCAGACATGATTATGCATAAACACCTCGATTTTTCCAAGCTAATTTCATGATCATGATATAAATGCAGAATTGGAGTACTCTAATTGTTATGATCTCATGGAATTCCCAGAGTAAAACCAGTTATGAAATGCAGTGATGCAATGGGAAGTCAACTATTGTGAAGGTTCTACTAGCTAACATCAGCATTAAATCAAACGGAAAAACTAACTTCAGAACAAAAACATTGGTTCAAATAAATAAACTTGGTCGTGTGTTTCCTAAATTAGGTCCATGGAAAGTTGCCTGCAAATACTTTGTCTTTCCCAATCTCTTAATGCCTGATTCTCTCAAAGAGATCCTCTGTCTTGGAAATACAATTAAAAATCATCTGTCCTGTAAAATATGAGACTAGTACAATTTCCAGTCAGTCAGCAAATTTAGCAAAACAAAGCACAGTATTTTTCCCCAAAGAAAATCTTTTAATACACATAATGATTTTACCTTCCCAGATCCCATCTAAATCAACAATCTGAGAGAGAATATTCTTCTGACATCCGGGCATTTCTTCTCCTCCATTTGGAAAGAAATCCAGGTGACCCACATTCTGGCTCATTCCTAATCCTGAGGAATTTTTAAAATAAAGGGAAGGTTTATATTATGGCATAGACTCAAGTCACTCCAAAACACTCCGCTGTGCAGACACAAAACCTTGTTGGAAGACAAGCTGAGAGACTCACCCAAGTTGGGGATCATGGGCGCGCCATCTGTGTGAATTACATCCACAAACTGAGCATCGCTGGGATCCAGACGGACTAACTCAGGTGTTCCCTGAAAGTACGGTTCAGCAGGATCCAGCCCTAAAGCCAACAGATGTGTTCTTAGTATCTGTCAGTATTCATGCACACTCACCTCTCCACTGAGCTACAGACCTGTAGTATTAGATTAGCAACTACAAGTATTCACAACTTGCTTCTAATTTGCCCAACTTTTCCACACCCTAGAATTTGCCTTTGCATATGGATGCTTAGTCCCTAAAGGAAGCAGAACCTCCAGCAGAAGGTTTAAGAACCCTGGGAATCCGTGGACCTCGGCTTTCCTGGTCACATGTCACAGGCTTGATGGCACAGCACCTGGCTAGGCAGGCAAACATTTATAGACAACAGGAAAGAGGATTCTGCAGACATCTACAGAGCAAATTAATCCAATGGATGTTTCAGATGCTTCTGCAAGTTTAAATGTATCCAGTTTAGCCCAGTGATTGAAAAGGAGGTCCACTGGGTGAGACTTGGAAAGTTGGAAGATAACATAGGAAAATGAAGCCATCACTGGTCAGATTTAAGCTAGCAGTTTCTTTTTTTTTTTCCCCACGAGGTTACAGGATTGGCCAGGAGTGTTGTGAAAGGAAGTTTTATAGAAATCTAATTAGTAGCATTCAATACTGGCAACATTGGGCAGCCTGACCATCTGCCCTCCAACCTCCTGCAGCTCTGGCATTAGGGTTAATGAGGTTTGGGCTCATTAGCCATTGTTGTTAAAGCAGAATACAATTAATTGTGCAAACATGAGTTCTTTGGGTTTCATAAAAGCTCTCCTTTGCAAATGCCTGACAATGGAGAAACAGAGATGAAATACAATTTCTAGATATTCCTAATTCAGATGTTAGTCACATGGAATAGAATAGACCCAAGTTGCATATAAAAAAAAATTCCCTGACTGACTGATTTTCTGATCATTAGCCTAATTCAGAAAGTAGAAAAGCAGGTCTGTATCAAATTTCCCTCCAGCATTTCCTTTCAAACTCTGGGAGATGCACATATTCTAAAAGCTGACCAACCTGTGATTCTTCCAATGACTCCTTTGGTCCTCCGTCCTGCCTCCCCAGCAGCGTGGGAACCCAGGCTGTGGCCAATGACATGGACCTTAGAAGGTGGGTACCCCAGGGATGACTGTGAGGAAATGGAAGCAGCAAGATCATGTCACCTCCGTATATGTCTCTTTGATACACATATTGGAGCAGAAGCCTCAGCAGAGGCAGTAGTTGCAGCATGGGCACCCGTACTTCGTATCTGGTCCTCAGCCAGCCCTGAGCGCCCATGAGGGAAGGTGCCTGCTGGGACCAGCATGGCAGGAGAACCCTGGGACCCTGCTGAACGCGGGGCTGCAGGGCTTGTGCCTGTGGGGACTCATCAAGGGACCCATTAGCTTTCACTGCTCCTTCTCAGGACATCCTTTCAAATTTCTTATCTCTGTCCCAGACCCCCTTTCTCTTGTCACTTTTGCACAAAATTTACATTCTTATTTTTAAAATACACTTTTTTTTTGCTTTCTCCATTTTTTTAGACTTTCACTCTCATGCAAGTGTTCCTATGCAAACAAAAAGCTTAATAATGTAAGACATGTGCTTTTTTTTTCTTATTAGTCTGTGTTGGGTTAATTTGTCTCCTAAATTCTATTGACGCATCTAGAATAGATCTAAGAAGGGTACAGGTGATCCCCTCCAAAGAAAATGTCTTTGCAATGTTATCAAATATGATGGATTTTGTGACAGTCACAGAAGGAAATTTCCCAAAATTCAAGTTTTAAGAATACACACTTTAACTTTAAAGTCAGGATTTTCTTGTTTTTCCCCTATAGCTATCATTAAAAATGGATATGATGTTTAATGTTTAAATGATTCTAGAAAAGAAATGAGGGCTTTTGCCCACACGTGATAGACTTTAAAACAATTATGCAAGCAATTGATTAGGCAGAAGTTAAATATTTTTCTGTTTTGCTTATGAATGTTTGTCATTGCACTTCTTTTAACAAGACAAAATCCAATTTTTTTTTAAAAAGTACTTTAGTTCTGAGATTGACCATGTCAAGCCTACTTGATAATAACTGCTAAAAATAAAACAAATTCTGGTGGGTATTCAGCAAAAACAACTTATGTACCTAAATGGAAAAATGCACTTAAAGAAAAATAAAAACCAGCTTACTGACCCAAGAAAAGATATTGCTGAGCCAAAACTAGATCTCTTCTTTTTCATGTTAACCAAAGGAAAAGGCATTTCTTAATAGAACAATGTCTGTCAATGCTTATACCTACAGGTGTTTTGGGAAAAAAAATCCAGAGGGCAATGTGCATGGACTTTTACAGAACCTGGATGTAGTTACCTGAAGAAAGTCAACTAAATATGCCACTTCTGCTCCGACAACTTGGATGTTCTGTGTGGCCTGTGGGTACGTAGTTCGGGAGCCGCCCTTCCAGTCCACACAGATGCAGTTCACACTTTCCACCTCAAACAAGTTCTGATGGAAGAGACACAACATACACATGAATAATTCAGGATCCTTTTTAGTTTCTATTAACATACGTGAAGACTAGTAAAAATTCCCTGTCCTAGTCTAACTTATGTTACTTTAAATCCCAACTCAATGAACAAAATTTCTGATCTCTTGTGGATATGAATCCTGGATAACATACATCATTGTTTCTGAATTGGGAATTTGACCATCATGGAAACTTGATTCTTGTGAATTCTACTGCCATAGTTGCATATACATTTGATTTGGGGATAAATGTATACAATATAGTACAATCAGTTGCGCCATTAGAACATCACAATTGTCATTAGACTCCAGTGTCCCTAACAAAAATACATCCAAGGACTTGGTCTATCTTCTTTGTAACTGGATCCTTACAAGAATAGTTCATAGCAGCTGATCAATAAATGTACGATGAATGAATGAAGACTATATAAGGACTCCATAATGTGTAAATATATTGGAAGTAAAGGAGTAAACTTATGAGAGACAAAGTTCAATTAAAGCTCCTGATGAACATGTTGATTGTCCTTCATTAAGGTTACTTTACATAATTGTATCCTTTCCTAGATATGTACTGGGGATCTTGTCCAGTGAGTTCCATTATAGTTTCCTGGCTAGTTTTGGCAGTAATCATGTTTATTTGAGTGTGCACTCATACATACTCACATCTTTTCTGAAAAAAAAAGTTGAGAATAATGAAGTAATTTTAGAAATGATTGCCAATACTTTCATTTTTTATAAAAGATAAAGTATATGGAAATTGTTAACTAAGGTCATGGGTTTTTAAGGGTAAAGTAGAACTTGAATTTGGGACACTTTTTACAAACTAGTTAATCCACTAATTTTTCTATTGTCAAAGCCAAATGAAATGCAAGAAAAAAACACCTGTTTTGGGAACTTTAGAAATTAATTGTATGCATACATTAAAAATTATATTCCTTTAAGGGAAGAATCGTGTTTTCTCTAATTGTTGTGTAGGCATCTATTATTATGTGTCATCAGATTTAAATTAGAAGACAAATGTGTTTTTTTAAATGTTTATTTTTATTTAAACTCCAGAGCAACAGGAAAAGAGAAAGCATGTGTGTGCACATGTGTGTGAGAGAGATAACCTCCATCAGCTGATTCACTCTGAATTTCCCACAATGCCTACAACAGCCAAGACCTCTCACCAGGCTAGGCAGCAGCCAGGAGCCCAGAACTCCAGCCAGAGTCCCTATGCAGGTGGCACAGACCCCAGTGTTTGAACTAGCATCTTCCCCCACTCCCCCAACCTGTGCATTAGCAAGAAATTAATCAGAAGTAGGTGCTGGGCTCAAATTCAGGCACTCTGATATGGGACATAGGCATCCTAAGGAGCAGCGTAACCCCATGGTACCACAATGCTTATTCCTTGACTGATTATTTTTAAATCTATGAAGTGAGTGCACTTGAGTGCCTTCATGAGTGTTCAGCATGAGTGGATGTGTATCCAAACTGCCTCAGTTCTCTCTTTGAGCTGATACAGTCTGGGCAGAAATAAAGTGGATGTGGGAAGACTGTAGTGTCTTTATCTTGATGTTTTTAGAAGCGACTACTACAGCTTTCTGCCATAGCTGATGATAAAAATGGATGAATACACGAGGAAACAAACAAATTAATTAACCCATAGTAATACACTTCAAGTACTAGCAGTTACAGGGACATTTTATTCCACTTGACTTTCTGTCTTTTAATTCTTCTCTATCCCATGGCACCTAGCCTAGCTCAAATTAAAGGAGATAGGATTACTGTTATTGAAACCACAGAAGTCAGAAATGAAATCCATCACATTTTCCTAGATACAGCTACCAGTGGAGATCAAAGAGCAGTAAGTAAAAAGGAAGAAAAATAATGAATTTGAGAAAATGGGATCTCCTAGCTCTTTACAAGGAAATTAGAAGTGGTGGTTTGCACCTCACATGAATGGTTGCTTCTGCTGCTAAAATTTTGAAACACTTCTGTGTTACAAATAACCACTGCCTAGGACCATCATATGCCTGCTGACCTCATTGTCATGAGTATCCCAGGGCCCCTCCATCATCAGTACCACCTGGGCCTCTCCTGGGAAGCCTAGCATGAACAGAGGATACAGGAACCTCCAGTGTTGTGGCCACTAGTGTGTCCTCCTTGGTGGAGGACAGCATTTTATTGGTCATTTTATTGGTTTTTAGCAGTGACCACTGCTAATGCAGTCTCCCCTTAAGCAATTACCACATTTCTCACCTTACACAGCTTGTACAGCCAGTTTTCTTCTCCTTTGTCTATGAATCCATGGATAATGAAACGAGTTTTTCTGTCTGTTTTGAAATTGGAGCTTCGGATTATCGCTGCATCTGCAGAGATCACCTACATTGGCGGGAGAATAGGGTTTCAGGTCAATTCTCTCATAGTATCTCAAAAATTCAGGATTTGCTATGGTTTGTATATTTTCTCCAAAACTCATGTTTAAATTTAAGAGCCACTGTGATGCTGTTAAGAGATCAGGTCTTGAAGTGTTTCGATTTCACAAGTAGATAATGCTGCTGTTGCAGGAGTGGACTAATTACTACAGGAGTGGGTTTCTGTTCCAAGTTTGGCCCCTACCACTTGTTCCCTCTTCCTTGCATGAGGTCTCTCTTTGGCTTTCCAGTCTTCCACCAATTAAATAAATGTCAACTACATATAATTAATTCAATTCATGTTATGCTTGTTTAGCTCTACAAGGTGAACTAAAATGGAAAAGTAGGTATCAGGAGTCAGATTGTTACCACAACAAATATCTGAAGATATGGATGTTGCTTTGGAACCTAGAAATGGATAGAAATGGGAAGAATTTGGAGGAAAAAGTTAGGAAAAGTCCATTTTTACCATGAATGGATTATTTAAGGTGCTACTGGGTGGAAGGACAGAGAAGAGAGGATCTGCAGTGACAATTTTAAATTTCTTAGAGATTACTTAGCTGGTCATGACAATAATATTGTTAGACATGGATAATAAAGGCCATTCATTTGTGATATCACATGGAAAAAGACAGTGAAGTGCATCTGTGTTATAGAGGTGAAAAGAATTTGGCCGATTTGCATTCAAAAATCATTTCTGAGACTTTCTTTTGCATCATGAGCGGAGTTCTAGGAAGGCAGAATGGTTTGGGGGGGTGAGCTGGGACATCACTGACCAGAGCCATCTTGTGCCTCTGTACCCCACATCCGGTGTAATTCTCCCTTGTCTTCCCAGCTGTGACTCAAGTGGTTCCAGGTGTGGGTCTGAGGGTTAACAGGTGAATTTTGGTGGCATCCATAAGGTGTTAAGTATATAGGCTTACATAATGTAAGAACTGTAGGAGCATAGCCGTGTGTACCTAGAATATTATGGATAGCGTGAGACACTCAGGCAGAAATCCACTTCCTGGGGAGAATTACTGTAGAGAATCCCCATGGAGCAATGGCCAGTGGAGCTGTGGGAGTAGGACAGTTTTCAAGACCTCAGAACTGTAGGGCCACCAGTATGTAATATCAGCCTGGAAGAGCTATAGGTGGAGGAGTCCAAGCCCGTGAGAACTGATAAATGGATTGAACTCAGAAACAAGCCTATGTCCAAGGTTTTGAGGCCACAACATCCACCCCAGGGCATCCAGAAGCAGCACGTAACAGGGAAAGATGATTCTGTACTCTTCCATTGAATGTTTATTTTCCCTAATGGATTTTAAACTTACCGGAGTTCTGTCCTAATGTTGTATGTTGGCAGCGGATAACTTGTTTTGATTTCACAGGCTTACAGCAGGAGGAAATTTGCCTCAGGATGGATCCTGCCTTGAGTCTCTCTTACAAATGACTTAAATATGATTCTAAACTTCGAATTTTGGAGTTGGGATAGTAATGAGTTAAGACTTTTAGGGTTATTGGGTTGAAATGAATGCATTCTATATGTGAAAGGAAAATGAATTTGGGGGAAGATAAAGGTAGAATGGTATAGTTTAAATGGTTTCTCCAAAACTCATGTTGAAATTTCATTGCTGTGGGGTAGTGGGAAGAGGTAGGACTTTCAGGAGGCCATCAGGTCACAAGGGCTCTGTCGTTATTGATGGCTTAGTGCTGTTATTTGCAAGGGTAGATTACTAATCATAGGAGTGAGTTCCTAGACAAAGGGCAAGTACACTCCCTTTTCTTCCCGCCCCTACCCCTGCACGCTCTTTTTCCATGTTGTGACTCCTATAATATGATGTTCCAGTAAGAAGACATGAACTAGATACAGAACTTTGATCTTTGATTTGCCTATCTGCAGAACTGTAAGTCAAATGTTCAGAAACACTTGGTGCCTTTGGGTTATACACTGTCCGTGACACTCTATAAGACAGCAAACCTGAACTCGGATAGTATCCTGATGTCCTACAACAGATGGAACCAAGTTCCAAAGACAATGAGAATTCTTACTTGGAAGTTGTTTGGATTCTCATTAGTGTAGAGGAGGAAGCGGGTGTTGACATCTGCTGGAGACGAGGGCAAATTGCTGAAGGGTCTTAGTAAGGTTCCTCCCCATGGGGAGTCATTACTGAAGCAGCCAAGTCTCTCATAGCAGACCTCTCGTCCTGAAATCATCCAGAAGTATTTTAAGGATATTAGTGTAATCACAATAATCCTGGTAATTTTTTTCTCTACCAAACTACAAGTTAAATTCTGTACGTGGCAGGTTTTCTTCCTCGACTTCCACACACTCCTAAAGCAGCTTCAAAGGACCATGCCTGTGTTCCAGATCAGCAGCTCTGGCTAATTTTCCACCTGGCAAGAATCCCCACCACCCCACCACTCCCACTTGTTTCTCTTGAGTGCCATGCGGAGGCTCCTTTTAGCTTCTCAACTCAATGTTCCTCCTGGGTGGCCCCATTGTGTCCCTGGCCGTCGTGAGTAACAAGACTGCCAATATCTTGTAGCCACCATCTGATTTGGTATTTTGGGTGGAAATCTGAATTCTATGCAAAGGCCAACAGACAGCTCCACCTGGGCTGAGCCTGTAGGCATCTGACCCTTGTTTGAAGCTGTCCTGGACCCCTAAGTGAAGAAGCTGTTCCAAAGCTATGGGACAGAGTTCAAGCTTCGATGCATGAACTGTGCTTACCTGGTGTCCCACAAAGCAAAACTGATGGGAAAGTTCTTGAGGTTGATAAAAGCAAGATTAACAGTCACAGTAAGATTAGTAGTTCTTGCTAGGGCTGCATTCCTGGAACTCTGAGCATGTGCTAGCTGCTGGCCCCAGTGATTTGTTTATCTCACCTAACCCTCACACAATCATCCCATGAGATGTCATTATCACTTAATAGACAAAGATACCACAGCCCAGAGGAGGTAAGAAATTTGCTCTGGATACTATAGTTGTAGGTGATGGATACACAGTTCCTCCACCTTATTTAATCCGATCTAGAGTTGTTAGATGTAGCAAACAAAAGTACATGCTACATTTGAATTTCAAGTATTTTCTAGAGTGACTTGGAAAAGTCAATATGTCACATATTCCAAGCAATTTGCTATTTATCTTAAATTCAAATTTATCAGAGACATCTTGGATTTTGTTCTAGAACCTTTCTTACAGTTCCTGTGTTCCCAACACATCTCCACTGTTGTACTCTGAGTCTTCACAGGGGCTTGGGTTGCACCATCAGAGGCCTCCTGGGAAGGAATGAGCAGTGGAGCATCTCCTAGCTCCACGGGCATGTTTTCTTACCTGTCGCTGCCCCCAGCAGCAGTGTAAGTGTCCAGACCAGCAACATCTATATAAAGTTAAAAAAAAAAATTAACCATGATTGACTGTTCCTGTAAACATCTTTTAAAAGTTTGGCACCATTCAAGTTCATTGAGATGTCTGGGGGAACACAAGTAAATTCTAATAAATGGGCCCTGGGAAACATGTTCCTGACTCACCGTGGCAGTCCTGTCAGATTCTGCACACAACCTTATACGGAAAAGCTTTTTTATAAGCAAACCTTATCTCTGTGAGCAGTACCGTGCAAACGAGCCTTGAACAGAGAGAGACTTCAAATAATCTATTTCTAATTTTAATCCTAGGTAAACCTAGATAGACAGAGTAGATGAAGTTTCCCACAGCACGATGGGAACATAAGAAAGGTGCCCATATGAGACGTGGTTATGTAATGCTCAGAACCACGGTGAGTCGACAGCTCCGGAGGTTCCAGCCTGTTCTCTGCTTGGTTTACAGTTCTCTGTGTGGGTCTCTGGGCAAGCATACCCACAGATCTGCCAACACCAGTGCGGAACACGGATTTAGGGAGTTTACTAGTTCCTATGGGTTTGGTAGGACTTTGCCTGACTCTCAAAACCTGAGAAGCAGAAGCGGTACTTCCACAGGGGCCATGCTTCATTCAGATGTGTTGTAAAACCACTGTGAGACTCAACTTGAAGATACAGAAAAGAACAAGAAAGCTGACCTGAGGAACTGTGGTCACTGCTGGGTAACAAGAGACGGAAACACTCAGTCCTCCACTGGATGAAATCATGAATGAGAAATGAACATAAGGTTCAACTTGGGGAAAAAAAATCGTTGGGAAAAGTTCCCGGAAACAGAAGGTTTTACAGATATAAACTGAGTTGTTTTTAGTTTGCACTGGATTGCTCACATTTAATTTTGAAATGACTAAAGCAAGACACCATACTTTTAAGAGGTTATAATTCTTTATCCTGACAGTGTTGCAAGTCTTAGGATGAATCATATGAAATAGCCAGGCTCACAGGTCAAAAATAGTCAGAGTTATTCTGCCTCTTGACAAAATGTATAGATATCGGAAACATACCAGAATTATTTGGCTACAGGGAAATGTTAAGGAAAGGACAAAGGAAGGAATACAGCAGATGAAAGGAGCAGCCTATTCCTATTGGGTTCTTCATGCCTCATCCTTCAATTCCATTCTTGGAGTCTTAGCCAGCTTTCCTTGGGTTGGTTTCTCTTTTCCCTTTAGGAAGTCTCCCCTTTAGGAGTCCCTATGGTCACTTGTTCCCAATCTCAGAAAAGGCTGGAATTTCTGGGCCTCGTGGTCACACCTGGGCATAAAGCCCCATGCTAAAATATCAGCCACCTACACAATCTCAGTGAAGAACTCTGAAGCCTCTTCCACTCAAAACAAGCCAAAAACATGAGAGAAAATGCCTTCCAGAGCTTCTAACTGAAGTCTTGTATGTCTACACTGTTCAGTCATGGTCATGTTACACTGCCCCAATCGGACCCAACCATGTACTCTTTTGATGCACTAGATAGTAATTTCCATCTTGTGAGAATTCCTATTTGCAAATTCCCATTTTTCATGATACAAAATTTAACTTACCATTAGGTCAACTGATGTCTAGTACAGGTGATCAATATAAGATCATCAATAGGGATTGTTCTCTAAGCAAAGATAGGTCCGAATTTCAGAATGTGTTAGAAAGATGCAGCCGCTCAAATGCATAGAAAGGATGAAGGAATTGGGGGCATAGTCATCAGTTCATTGTGTCTACATGGATGAATGACTTCTCCTAAATGCAGCTTTGCTGAATGCATGAGTCGAGCTGTGAAGCTTTACCAACTTCCTGATTCCACCCAGACCGCTGATGGACTGTTTGGAACCATCTATTTGTGGAGCATGTAGGGACGTTCCTGGAGGGAATGGAATCAGACTGTTTATCACACATTTATCCTTGAAGGGAAAGGAAATCAGCTTTTGCAATGAAATATGATTGTGTGGTTATGTTCCAGTTCTAGTTCTGCTTCCACAGATCTCCCACGTGCCTTTGTCTCAGCAGCTTAATGCAGAAAACAGCACTACAACTCCGTGGAAGCTGGCAGGGCCTTGAGATGGAAGGAGCTTGGAATCCCTGGAAAGAGAAAGCCAGCCCACTATCACAGACTTCCACTTTTGGTATTACACAGGTAAGAAATGAGTTACTGCTGTTCTGAGAAAGTAGGATTTCATGGGGGCAGTGATCAAATTTCCTAAATTATCTGTTGCATTTCTCCTTCTGTGAATTATTCAGGTACCCAACATATGAAACCAGACTGTGCACCGTAAGATTTAAATTCCTTACCTCCGCAGGGATGCCCGACATGAACAAATTCTTTTATTGCTGGTTTTCAAAAATTCAGTTTCTGGTGGAGGTGCCATCATTGTGGTAAGGTGGGTTAAGCTTCTGTCTGCAATGTTGGCATCCAGCATGGGAGCTGATTTGAATCATGGCCTCTCCACTTCCAAACCAGTTCCCTGCTAATGTGCCTGGGAAAAGCAGCAAAAGATGTCCCAAGTCCTTGAGCCTCTGTTACCCAGATGGGAGACCTGGGTAAAGCATTAGCCCAGCCTGGCCATGACTACTGCTGCCATCTGAAGAGTGAACTGATGGATGGATGATTTCTTTCTTTCTTTAGCTCTCTGTGTAGCTCTGGATTTCAAATATCAACAAATAATTTTAAAAATCACTTTGAAGAACTATACTATTGTAATAATATGGGGGAAATCAGTTGGGGAGTAGGGATTTTGGAGGTGGGGGAGGGATCTCAGACCCTACATAATTGTACCATAAAATTAGAAATAATTAAAAAAGAATACAAAAAATCACTCCAATGCTATTTTCCAAATTATTTTTTAAAACCTGCTCAATTCTTTCATTTATTTTTTGAGAGTAATTTTTATTACCCAAGCAGTCTGAGACCATATCTACCCCAAAATTCAGCGTAAAACTTACTCTTTGTTGTCTGGGTCCACAGATGTAATATGTGGGACCTTGGACAACTCATTGCTCTGGATCCATAAAATACTGTGAAATATCAGGCAAGGGCCTCCAACCCCAGACCTGCTTTCCTCTATGTTCTGTTGCTTCTCTTGTCTCAGGTTTGCAGGCTGGCAGGTGATCCCTGTGGGTGACAGAGCCATGACAGCTATCCCAAGAACTTCATGGCATTGGTTGGCCTATATAGGCTCTGGAGGAAGAAAAATCCTACAGGATAAAAAAAATCTGTAGGATACAGCAGAGCCCTACACAAGCCTGCCTCAATGTTGGCCCTGAAGCCTTATGCATTTGAAAACAAAATGTAAAGCTTGGAAGTTTCAAATGAAGTCACTATGTTTGAAGAGAAGATAAAACATTTATCTGTGTTTGGACACTGATGCTGGCAACCTTGGGATATCCGACTCCAGGTAAGGGAAAGAACACCCCTGGAACACCTGTGAGCAAAGGTAGCTAACAAGTTAGACTAATGAGTCAACATTTACTTATCCTTCAGAGAGCTTGGCCCACCCTCCCCTTCTGGCTCAGCCTCTGGAGAGGGCAGAGGAGGACGCGCCTCCCTGAGGACCTTGGAGTTCCCTGGACAGAACAATCTGTGACCATCTGGGCCTGTTCTGCTGTACACCCTTGTGAGGAACGGTCTTGGCAGGCATCAGGGAGGTTCTTGCTCACCCAGACCCAGAGAATCAGCTCTCCTCTACTAAGTAGTCACATGATTTCATTTATGTAATATGATGACAAGAATGTTCCAAATGACAGCATTCTTCAGTTAGGCACCCATATGTTAACATAGTTGTAGTTAATCTCCATTTGAATCTATGGAAACAAATCTATTTTTCCCAAGAAAAGTTTGAGAATCAAGTGTTAAAGGTGTTAATTCTACTTTAAATGTTTGGGAGAGTACAACATTAAGGTCATTAGGTCCTGGGCTTTTCTTTGATTCATACTTCTTAAAAAATTTTACCTTTATTGGAAAGTCTGATTTATACACAGTAGGACAGACAAAGATCCTCCATCTGTTCATTCACTCCCTAGGTGGCCGCAATGGCTTGAGCTGAGCCAATCCAAAGCCAGGAGCTTCTTCCTGGTCTCCCACATGGGTGCAGGGTTCTAAGGCTTTGGGCAATACTTGACTGCTTTCCCAGGCCACAGACAGGGAACTGGAAGGAGAGTGAAGCAGCCAGGGAGCAAACCAGCACTCATATGGGATCCCGGCGCATCCAAGGTAAAGACTTAGCACCAGGCCCTGATTGGTACTTTTTAAAACGGTGGGTTCAATTTCATTGCTCACTGGTATTAAGGATTTTTATTTAATTATCATGGAGCTGGGGAGTTCATATGTGTAGACAGATTTGTTTATTTTTCTAATACCCAATTTGTTGGCTTATTTGAAAAGGGGTGTATTTATTTATTTATTTGTTTGAAAGAGTTACAGAGAGAGAGAGAAGGGAGATTCTCTACCTACTGGTTTACTCCCCAAGTGGCGGCAACAGCCAGAATTGAGTCACACCAAAGCCAGGAGCTTCAACTAAGCTTTCCGCAAGATGACAGCATCTGGGCAATCTTTTGCTATTCTCAGCCTGTTAGAAGGAAGATGAAATGAAAGTAGAGCAACTAGGACACAAATACGTACACACATGGCAAACCAGAGTTGCAGGTGGCAGGTTACACAAGGTTTCACAACGCCTGGATCTAGCATATAATGTTCAATAATAGCATGTTATATTATATCACATTATATGTATTTCTGCCTCCTTTTTTCATAACCAATTTTACTTATATGAATCATTATTCTCTCTTACTCTGGTTTTCTTCAAGGTTTGTTAATTATAGCCATCTTATAAAAATTGATTCTTGTGGTCCCTCCAAATTAAATAAAATTTTTAAACAATCACAACATATTTTTTGATATTTTGTATATACTTTCAAAATATTTTAAATTTGTTCATTTTATTATTTTATGATACAATTTTATAGGCTCTGGGATTTTCCTTACCCCCCC